GTCATATAAAAATGATTGCAACCACTGGTTGCAACCACCTTTACGACCATTTTGTTTCCTTTTTTGGATTGCGACATAGAACACTAATTTGGTGCAATTATTATTTTTAAAATGATCACCCCTGAGGAGCAGATACCATTTTTGATAAGACAATAATAGTTGATGGTTTTTGCTGTTGTCCACTGTAAAATTTTATTATTTATTGTTGAACCTCTTCTTAATTTATATTAACTGATCTTGATTATTTGTTGGTCATTGATATATTCTATCATATGATTTTTATTTATGTGCCACCAATTCTTATTGATTGATTCTTCTTCATTCATGCAAGATTGGGGTGTCCTACATTATATGATTTTACAAACATAGTTGATCACATATATAAATTTTCATATGGAGTATGCTGCAACAAAACCAGACAAAGTGACCAAGAATTTCAGGGACACAATTGTATTACCAATGTAATGTGATTATGTAATAAAAACAAATTCCATGGCTACAAATGTAATAAAATCAAGGATTACACTCTAACGACATTCAAATATTTCTGGAGAATGTAACTTAATGATAAAAATAACTTTACAATAAAATAACTTAATTTTTATTAATCTTAATTCTTCTCTATTTATACAAATTACAATAAATAAATATTATTAATAATAAAAATACAATAATTAATTAAATAAATATTATTAATACATCTTAATGACTATATTGGTATCTTAAGACTTTCCAGAAAGCTCTAGTGCTTAATTTGTAATTCATATCCATAAAAATAAAATAATAAAAATAACAATTGCACGCGATAACAATATAAACTAAAATAATTAACAATAGATCGATCACGTACAATATAAAGTATTATAATGCACGTGTTACACAAAATAATATTGTATCACCGTGCCTCGAAATTGACGAAACGTTATCAGTCAGACAGGATTTCACACTTCAGCACTTACTGATTTTACTATATGATCGACACATCACGTTTTTCGTACAACAGACTTTAAAGGAAGAATTGGATGCAAGATTATTAACAAACAATTTTTACACTTTTAAATAAATACAATCCCGTACTTTTGCTCTTTTAAACACAATCTTTTATTTGTCAGTAACTTTTTTTGTTGTCCGGCAATAGCCTTTCAAAAAGACCCATACTTTTTAGCTTCGAAGACCTAATTCTTTATGAAAAACAATGTTATAATGATCATTTTAGTGTGATAAGATAGAGTATATTGAGGGCTTTCAGAAAATATATGGTTCGTTTGGTTTTTACAGAAGAGGAAGA